CGATCCTGCTGGGCCCTCCAATACCCTGGGCTGCACGAGCCCCTGCTCCTCCGGACCCCCTGGTACCAGCTGTGGGCTTGGGGGAACCCCCGAGACTCCCCGCCATATTAATGCCCCGCACTCACCAGCTCAGGAGGGGGCGCCGGCTGGCAGGACGATGTCACCTGGGAGCAGAAGGGACGGGGTCAGTGCCAGCCCAGGCGCCCCTGAGTGCCAGCCCGGCCCCCCGGCCGTGACGCCAGCGTGACGGGGCAGGAGGCGGCCCCGGCGGGGGGCTGGGGCTGTTTTCCTTGGCCCCTTCCCTCATGAGCACACAGAGGCCGTGATTCACGGCGGGTGGGGGGGTTATATATAGAGCAACACAAACAGGCCGCGCCCAGACATGCACACACATACACACGCACACTGGGGCCATTCAGCCCGGCCCCCTGCCCACCACTGCTGCGGTGACCCCCCTTCGACTCAGCCCCCCAGGGGGACCCCGGCCCCCTGCTCCGGCAGCTAGCCTCGCTCCTGGCCTGGGCACCCCGATGGCACCCCACGGCAGGGGGCAGCGCCAGGCCAGGGTGGGGGGACAGGGCTGCCCCCCCAGTCAGTAGGAGTTGATTTGCATATGCAAAGATGACATCACCACTCCCCCCAGATGCCCCGCCCCACACTGCTCTGCTCCTGCCGGTGCCCCCCATCTCAATCTGCCCCTCCAGCCCCTTCTGGCCCCCTTCTGGCTGCTGCCAACGGGCCCTCCCCCTCCCAAAGCCCCCAGCCCTGAGATACAGAGCAGCCTCCTCCCAGCTTCCGGCCCCCAGCCAGGGCCTGGGAAAACATCTGGAGCAGCTGGGGGCGGGGGATGCGGGAAGCCAGAACCGCCAGGGAAAGGCGTCAATGGCCACCCGGGGAGGGGAAAACTGAGGCACGGGGCAGGGGGCACTGCCAGGCTCTGCTGCCCACCTGGGGAAACTGAGGCAGGATGCAACCACCATTAGACCCCGCTCTGTCTCAGAGCTTGGACCAGGACCCAGGAGGCCCCGGCCCCGGCCGGCTGGTCGAGCCACTGACCCCTCTTCATCGTGCCTGGGGGAAACCCAGGAGTCCTGGCTCCAAGGCCTCCCCATCTCCCCAGCAGCCCTTGCTCCCTCTCCGGGGGGACCCCAGGAGTCCTGGCTGATGCTCCCCTGGCTCCCTCTGCTCTCAGCGCCATGTCCCCTTGCAGGGACCCAGCACCCGGCACCCAGAGACCTCCTTGGGGCCATGCCCTGCCCTGCAGCAGCACCCATGGGCACCGCTGCCCACCCGGTACCAGCCCAGGACCCCGTCCCTTTCCTCCCCTCCTCTCTCCGTCACGCCCTCGCTTTCTCTCCCATCTCACATGCAACCGAGACACACGCGCGTGCACACAGGTATGTGCCTCACCCCCGATAAACCCCCCCACCCCCGTGCTGCCCCCTATGGGGGGAGCTGAGAACAGTGGCTGTGGGGGGGCTGTGGCATCCATCCCGCTGTGTTACCTGGGGGCAGCAGGACACTTGCTCTCTGGGCTCCTGGCACCGCGAGCAAGCCCCATGCCCGTCCCTGCCCTGCGCGCCGGCTGGCCGGCGGGACAGCACTGAGCCTGGGGCCTGCTGTAGCTGCAGCCCTGGCCCGGGGCCAAGGCAAACCCAGCCTTACACAACCATCTGCCAGGGCTTAAAGGGCCAGAGGAGCC